TGGGTTTTATTTTTTTATTTACTATGGGTTTATTTGAGTTTATTTTTATTTATTATGTTTCCTGGTGTTATTTTCTCTTGGTCTAGCTTAGATGTTATTTACATGATACCCGTTATGTATACCCGTTAGTCATTTTCACTGTTTTCAAGATGAGGGCTGAGTTTGGAGTTTTTGTGGTATTAATCTCTCATGAACTTTTTTGGTTGGTTTTATTTATAATAAAATTTTCATAGATTCTTATGGGCCTATAATAAAATTATTTGGTACTGTAGCTTTTAGCTGTTTTGTTTGATTCTCTTTATTTCTGGTCGTGCTTTTGTATCTGATTATAGTAATAATAGTGGTTTGACATGAGGTTAGGGATAATTTAACATGGTTCATTGCTTCTATTCTGGTTTTTATCTTTTTGTCTTCTGTTCTAGAATTAACACCATTTACAATTATGATTTTCGAAATATACAAGTAGGAAATTAAAATAAAAAAAAATTCGAAAATGAATATTTTAACGAATATTTTAATGAATATTTATTAGGGTAACATTAGCCTAAAAATAATAGATAGTAGTTAAAATAAAAAAGGTGGCAAAAAAAGCTATATATGTTATCAAAAAAAAAAGAAATAGTTGATAAAAAATAAGGGTTAAGGTAACATTACAATATTAAAGAGCAGCTTCAAATAATAATAACAAGTAATTGTTCAAAAGTGATTAGCCTAGCTTTAAGCCTCAACTAAACCTCTAAGCTTGCATACTTGAACCAAATCCCTATGCCTAATTCTGGAGCCAAGTATGCACATAAGTAAACAATACTTGTGGCAGTGAAAAAGTAGGCATTAATTATATGTATGCCTAAAACAGTGTTGAGATTCATTACTGAATGATTTAATTTTATCGAAAGCAATAAGAATTCATATTGTTTATAAGAAAATATCAAATTTTGCAAATTAAAATAGATTTAGATTTTTAGATTTTAGGTAGTTTAGATTTTTTTTCGTAAATGAAAAATTCACATATTGTAGTGCTTCGGAAAATCCCTGAACAAATAACCAAATAATGTAATGTAGCGGAATTTGGAATAATATTTGGAAGAAAAAAGGAAGTAGAAAGGCGCTTTTATGCGAAGGCGCTCCTCCAAGAGCTTGTCGAATCGGAATGCCGCACTTGCCGAGAATACGTGAGATAGTAATAGATTTTGTGCACTCTATTACTAAATATAGTTTTATGATTATTTGCCGTCTTTGATAACTCGCATATAAAGCGGTCTATTTGCACCTATCTTATATCTAATTGGTTGTGCAGTTTGGTTGTCATCATATATATACTGCAGGTATGGATAAGAATTCCTGTGTTTCTCTGCTGCTACTATAGTTATTGCTGTTCCTATTGGTGCCAAGCTTTTTACATGGTTGACTACTTTTATGGCATGCAGATGGTTTTTCAGCCAGTGTTACTGGGGATTTTGGGTTTTATTTTTTTATTTACTATGGGTTTATTTGAGTTTATTTTTTATTTTATTTATTATGTTTCCTGGTGTTATTTTATTTTGCTTGATCTAGCCTGGAGTTTTTGTGGTATTAATCTCTCATGAACTTTTTTGCTTGGTTTTATTTATGATAAAGTTTTCATAGATTCTTATGGGCCTATAATAAAATTATTTGGTACTGTAGCACTTTTAGCTGTTTTGTTTCATTCTCTTTATTTCTGGTCGTGCTTTTGTATCTGATTATAGTAATAATAGTGGTTTGGAATGAGGTTAGGGATAATTTAACATGGTTCATTGTTTTTATTCTGGTTTTTATCTTTTTGTCTTCTGTTCTAGAATTAACCATTTACAGTTATGAATTTTGAAATATACAAGTAATGAAAATAGAAAAAAAATTCGAAGATGAATATATTCTGTATTTGTTAATTTGTTAATCTCTCTGTTAATTTCTGTATTTCATCGACAAAACGAATAAATATTAGAGTAAGAAAAAAAGTAAAGGAAAATAATTGTTAGGATAACAAATATTAACTAGCAAAAAAAGCTATAAATGTTATAGAAAGAAACAGTGTGACAAAAATAAACATTAGAAAGCATTAGGCAAAGACAGTAGCAAGCAAAAGAGACCGCTAGATAGGTTAGAGTAGGAAAGAGTCAATGAGATTATTAGAATGGTGAGAATAAGAATGAGCGTAACAGCTAATGAGACTATTAGAATGAGTTTGCCAGAAATGATAGAGTAGGAAGGAGCGTGAAAGTAAATAACTGATAGGGTAACATTAGGTAAAAATAGCAGCTAGCAAAAGAGGTCGCTAGATAGGTTAGAGTAGGAAAGAGCGCAACAGCTAATGAGACTGTTAGAATGGTTAGCTTACCAGCAATGAAGCTATTTTTTGATTTTGATTTTGATGATTTGGAGATTTAATGTAATGAAAGTATAAATTTTGCATTCATTGTAGTGCATATGATGTTTTTATTGTTGAAGTATTATTATTTTAATTTTAATTATTATTTTATTTTTGATCTAATAAAAAATTTCTGCTTTATTTCTGGTGTTTTCCTGGTTGGCTTTGTTGCCTGATATTTCTTATAATTTGTAAAAACAAGAGAAGAGAACTAAAACTGTAATTTCATGATCAAAGCCAAAATCTCCCAAAAGGTGATAACTAACTATTAATTTAAAAAAATATTAATAATATTTCTAAAATAAAATAAAAATAAAAAAATATTAATAATATCAAAACCACTTTTAAAAATTTAAAAAGTGAAAAGAAATAAATAATTAAATATACAACAATGAATAAATTTATGAATGATAAAGAATAATAATAATAAAGAATATAAGAACAGGTGCCACGTTTTTCGCTTCATTACTTTCATTACTTCTTTTCCCATTTTTTCAAATTTCAGTTCGAAAAATCAAAATAAAAAGCATTAAACTTCATAAAACTGCCATATGTTTGCTGTCGCTAATATGTCGATTCCCATTCGCATCATCGCTATTTTGTCGCTCCATTAAAGCGACATTTNAAAATATTTTCGCAATTAATAAAAAACTACAAGAAAAAAGGAACCACAGTTCTAGTTTTATGATCAAACGCAACGACAAATTCTCCCAAAAGATGATAAATAATTATTAATTTAAAAAATATTAAAAATATTTTTCCAAAATCACTTTCAAAAATTTAGAAAGTGAAAATAAATAAATAAATAAATAATTAAATAAACAAATCCTCTCTGAGTGTTAGAGTAACGTTTGACGAAAATTAGCTAGCAAAAGAGAATATTTGAGTAAGAAAGAGTGTAACAGCTATCGAGACTGTTAGAAAGGTTAGAGTAAGAAGGAATGTAACAGGTAAAGAGACTGTTAGAAAGGTTAGAGTAATAAAGAGCGCAAAAGCCAAGGAGATTGCTAGGAAGATTAGAATAAGAAAGAAAATGAACGCAAATAAGTGTTAGGGTAAGTGTCACGTTTGTCCGAAAGTATTAGCTAGCAGAAAAGGCTATAGATGTTATAGAAAGAAAGAGATAGTGTGATAGAAAATAAGTCTTAGGATAAGATAAAGAAATGTTAAGCAAGAAATAGTTGCTGGCTGGAGAGATGGCTAGAGAGGTTAGAGTAAAAAAGAGCGTGAAAACTAAAAGATGTTAGAGTAATGTTTAATCTTTCTAAGGAGGTTTATAGGAAGCACTTATTATATATATAAATATATGTAATATATAATGTAAATATATGTCTGATAAATGAAGCAAAATTATTTCGTAATCATGAAAATGATTTTTCATTATTACAGAATTTTGTATTTCACGGAAATCTTTCTTTATATATGTTATAATGAAGGCGGATCACTTTTTTGTTAATTGAAAGCTAAAACTTTTGTGCAAAAATTTTTTCGTTTTTTGGCGCATTATAGTAAAAGCAAAGAAGGAGTAATGGAATTACGCGATTACGCGATTATAGGAGTAATGGAATTTAGCGAAAACGATGAAGTCGTGGAAATCGAGACTTTTGCGCCAAGTCTAATTTGACTAATCAAAACAGCGAGCGAATCCGATTGTTCTTTTTAGGTATTCAAGAATGCGTCTTGGCTTTCATGATTTATTACACTAAAAAGTAATTTATTAAAGCAATTATGATAAATTCGAAAACGCTAAAACTCAATAAGTGGAAAATTTATAACAAATTTTAAAATTTTATAACAAATGGCTTTCGCTATACTTTGAGAATGCTTTGAAGAAATTGATCAACGTGATGAACGGGTGGAATGCCATGCGAATGCATTCAAATAATAATAACTGAGGTGCCAAATAAAAAGAAATTAATGCCATCGCTATAATACAAAAAACAAATATAACGAAAGGCTAACAAATATGATGAATAAGCAAAATTGGGCAAAATATGATGAATAACAAATGTGCAAATGTCAACAATTCGGCAAATGACATATTGTCATATGCTGAAAGAATATGGTTTCAAGCATAATTGAAGTTTTTATCACGGATTTGGTCCTTTCTTAAAAATAAGGATAACGCACAGACTACATCATTCGGCCATATATATATGAATACGATATAATTTATATATATATATATATATATAAATTATATCGTATTCAATTCGTTGAACTGAGAAGGAGTTTAGTATAATTGATGTTTCATTTTATAATTTAGGATTGCTATTAGGGGAGAAACGATGTGAAAAATATTTCTGAAGTTCTTCAAGAATAGGTCGGCTTCGTATATTTCGATAAAATTTTTAGTACCACTTTTGAACAGTCTAAAAATAAAATTCAGTACTTACTTTCAGTACATACAAAGTTGTTACCAAATTCATGGAAAATCGCCACTTGATTTTATAAATTATGCGAAAACTAAAATTATGCAAATCAAAATTTTATTTCAAATACAAAGTTAAACAAAAAAAATAGAAATATTAAAAAAAGGCCCAGAAAATAGTATTATAATTAAATAATATTTAAATAAATAAACACAAATAATTAAATTATTAACATAATTTTCAACATAATTAAATTAAACAAGCGCGAAAAATTTGAATTTATAATTTATACCAATGTACAATACTCAATTGCACAATTCTAATTCCATGATAAATTTTCCATTAAAATCCTGAAATATCCATTTTCATCATGATCGATTACGATACTTTCAACGGCATATGTTACATGTTCTTCTGCATTGTTCTCTCATCACTACGGAATATGGCGGTACATTGCAGAACGATACCATTTGCGCACAGTTGGCTCGGACGTCACTACATGATGATGACGCACCTCCTGTTGTGGCTAAATTTCGAAAATTAACGAATGCTTAGAACCCAGTTGAATTGTCGCATCTAAAATTAACAACTCACATAAACAAGTTGTGATCCTGCATGTTTCCATGCAATTCTGTTGCATGTATGCATTTGTGCATGTTAAAACCGGCAATAGCGTTGCACAATTTGTAACAGCGTTTGGGCAGCGACCACCGGCACCAGGTCTATTACATAAACCGCAGGCTTTAGGGCAGTTTGCTAATGCTGCTGCAGCAGTTTGTGAATTTGTGCACAGGTCCGAACTGACAGTGAAAGGCGTGCAATCAGCACCAACGGCTGAAATTCTTCCATTCAAGAGAAATAAAAGTTTTTACATTTAAAGAATATCATTCCAATTTAGAACCTATTTCCACACGCTATGTGCTATAAAAAAATTATAGATTTGTACCGTTGTTGCAACTGAATTCAGGTGCCATACAACACAATGCACAAGACGATGGGCACAGCGCAAGAGCATTTGCCTTCAGTGTGGCATTTAGACAATTTGCATTAACCTTGTATGTATTTGCTCTAAAATTATTTTATAATAATTGATAGAATAATAAATATGGTAAAAAAACATAAATTATGTATTTACTTACGGATTTGCGTTATTTTCGGCATCACTGCCCAAAGGATTGAAAACTGCAACGCATATAGTTTCATCTTTGTTTTTACAGGCGGAAGGAGGCGGCACAGGTTTGAATGGTGCCATGGCTGAACCTTTACAGTCCACAATTTCAGCTGAGAGATCTCCTGATTCAGCTACGCATAGAAGATAGCATACGATTAGTAAACCGAACATTTTCTAGCAATGCTTAAAAGCAATGGGAATTCATCGCTTATATATGCAATCTACTGCTTAAATTAAAAATAGATAGCATTTGTGCATCTCTATATTATCAACAACTATTGCTATCTTACTGAATGAACTTATCATTGCCAATAAATTTTGCTGATACCATATTATTTATAATTTTTAAACAAAAATCTTCATTTTCATGCTAAAATAGATACTAAAATTTTTCGTCATTACCTCTTTCAAATATATTTTTGTTCAATTATATCTTTTATATTTTATATATTTTTCTATAAAATTTTTTAAATTCAAAAGTAATCATTCTCCTTGAATGATTTTGAATAATTTATTGCAGTATAATCGACTATTTAAGGTTATTTTTCAGATATTTTGGATTCATTAGCATATAAATTCCAAATAATCATTTGACTGATAAAGGTAATACTTTTGCAACAAATTATTCGCAACTATGTCATTTTAAACTAAAACAATTTCTTTATGATTTAATTTTGCAAATTTCAAAATTAAAAATTTTATTGTTTGCAATACTAAAATATTGTTTGCAAAATATATTTCATATTCACAAGGATTATATTTTAAAAAAAAATAGTTCCTTTCCTCACTTATTCATTTGCTTAAATAATTCTCAAGGTGATCTCAAACGATAATTTGATAATAAAAAATAAAATGTCTACCTGTAACAAATATTTATTTATTGTAAATAAATTTTGGAACAAATATTTTTTTATTTTCTAAAATGTATTTTGACAAAAAATGCAGTCAGAAAAAGCTGTTTCATGATGTTTCATTCATTACATCCTTATAAGATGAGCAAGTAAATTGGTTTCTTTCATTGGCTATTAGAAGGATAAGAAAGCCACGTGGCGATAGGTTTATACAAGTGGCTCAGCAGTTTCGCTCGGATGTTTTAATAATAGGTTAGGTCTACTTCCGAATGCAACAACAGCCATTCACCTATCTCATCTTTTGATCACTAAACTGATTACTAAACTAAACTGCAAAATAATTTTGAGATCGCTCATCATATTTCTATAAATTTTAAAATATTCATTGAAATGTGATGTTTTCATTTCACGAAATGAATAAATCAAAATATAGATGGTGCTAATAATGAACTATTAATTTTCTATATTATTGGTCGCTGAATAAATAATAAAAAAGGTAAAATTAGATCCCAAAAAAAATCCGAATTTTTGTTGTTCAACACTCATCTGCTATATCGTATTATTATTGCTATTTATGGTGAATTTTTTTATGATAAACCATCACCTGTCGGTAAGTAAATATTTTTTTATTCCTTGAATAAAAATGAAGAATTCATCTGTTATTCTTTCGCTTCGTGATAATTACTATTGTAATTATTATTCATTAATATTATCGATTTGATATTTTAAAATTAATGAAAGAGATGGTACCAAATTTCAGAAAAAAGAAGCAAATATACAAAATTTCAAGCAAATTCCACGTATATTAAAAATGATATCAGATTCATTGACAATAGCGATTGTCATACTCTATGGATGCTATAAAGTCCGCATGAAATCATAAGATGCGGCTGAAAACCTATGTGTTCGAAAATATCTTGTATGAATTATATTTTAGTTGAGTAATAACCAATAACTTTTAGATACCTTAAGTAGTTCATTAAAAAAATCGATGGAAAAATTTAATGGACCTTCCATCGCTACCTAAAGTATTGAAAATTGACTATACGACCATGAAAATAAAATAAAAAGTATTGGACAAATGGCGAATAATAAATGAAACAAATTTCGTAATACATAAAATTTTTTTTGCATTATAAAAAATATACAATGAAAGAACATTTATTATTTGATTCAAAATCCTTGATTTTCATCCTATTTTTACGTTTCTCCACGCTGGTAGGGGTTAACATTTATTATTTTTAGTTATATAATGACTCTGCTGACCTATACGCCCCTAAAATGCCTTTCTGAGTCGAATGATCTTCTCTGGAACATCGTTCCATCACTCTCCAAACCACCGCTCCATCAATTGAGTCGAAAGTAGCCGCAAAGTCGAAATTGTGACAGTGGATTGCAAATATTTGAATCGATGTTCTAACCTTCTTAACCTTCTTATGGTAGCATAAATTTGGTCAGCACAACCACACCCCGACATGAATCCAGTTTGATTAAGTTGTTTCTTACTGCCATAAGTCTACTGAGTAAAAACAATGCAAAATTTTTCGCTGGGACGTTTAGAAGATTGATTCCTCGATAATTGCCTTGCAGTATGTCCTATCACCTACCTATCTTGAAAATTGGGAGCAGCATTGTTTGTTCCAGCCATCTGGTAATATTTCTTTTTTCCATACTAAAGAGTACATTTGCTGAAGGTGTGTTATAAAGAACGACAACATTTGAAAAGCTCAGCCCGAAGACCATCTTCTCCCGGGGTCTTATTAGCCTTGAACTTATGGATAACTGAGATTATTTCTTCTCTTGTTGGCGGTTCGCATTTGCAAACATATGGTTCATTTACTAAAGCATCAGATATGTTTAGGTTAACAGTTGGCGCATCATGGTTAACCTCAAAAAATTTCTTCCATCTTATGAGCCGATTCTTAATGGTCTTAGCAGGCACGCTATTGCTGTCTCTATTTCAATGAATGATCATTCCCCGTGTTCTAATAACTTTTTTGAAGAAAGTGGAATAATTGTTTATGTGAATCATGGCTCAGACCATAACTTGGTCATATCCATGAAGGATCCATGTTGCCCTTTTCAGCGCCGCGATAGAAATGATTGTGTGAAACTTTTCCTGTGGCAATTGATCAATCTTAGTGTTGGTTATCCGGAGAGTTCCAAGTGATTAGATCTTCCATGATCTTTTACGGTGCCCAAAAGATGAATAGAAATATTAAAGAATCACTGAAAAATGATCCAAAAAAAAGAAAAAGCCAAGAAAAAGTAGACAAATTTGAAAAAAACAACTTTACTGTCCTTAATTAATTATATTTTGATAAGACAACAGGTGATTTTTCTTTGAAGCATTAGTAAGAAAAAATGTTCTGCGGTAAAGCGAAGAAGGCATTACTCATTGGTGCACCGGTCTCCGTTCCCATATTTTATCTACACATCCCAGTATCCCCCGATCATGACCATTTCATTTTTCGGTAAACTTTCTGTAAATTTTTTTTAGCAGTTAGACTTCCGCATAAGACTTATCTTTATGAAACCTCCTAGTTTTTTTCCAGTGTAATTTCGCTGGAAGAATCAAATTTATCTAAAAAATAGTTTTATCTGCCTTTAAAAGGATAAGAAAGCCACTTGGCGATAGGTTTATACAAGTGGCTCACCAGTTTCGCTCGGATGTTTTAATAATAGGTTAGGTCTACTTCCGAATGCAACAACAGCCATTCACCTATCTCATCTTTTGATCACTAAACTGATTACAGAACTAAACTGCAAAATAATTTTGAGATCGCTCATCATATTTCTATAAAAAATATTCATTGAAATGAATATTTTATAAATGAATAAAATGAATAAAATATTCATTGAAATGTGATGTTTTCGTTTCACGAAATGAATAAATCAAAATATAGATGGTGCTAATAATAAACTATCAATTTGCTATGTTATCGGTCGTTGAGTAAATAATAAAAAAGATTAAATCCCAAAAAAAATCCGAATTTTTGTTGTTTAACATTCATCTTTTATACCTTATTATTGGTATTTATGATAAACCATCACCTGTCAGCAAACAAATATTTTTTGTCTTTATCCTTGAAAAAAAATGAAAAATTCCTGTTTTATGCTTTCGCTTAGTTATAATTATTATTACAATTATTATTCATTAATATTATTATCGGTTCGAAAATTTTTTTAATAAAATTGGTTAACAGAAGAAAACTTTAGAATATTTTGAAGTTAATGATATGATTTGGATAGATGGTACCAATTTTCAGAAAAAAGAAGCAAATATGCAAAATTTCAAGCAAATTCCACATATATTAAAAATAATATCAGACTCGTTGAAAATTTTCACCGTAAATTATTGGCTTATATTACCCAAAAAAATTTCGTGAAGAGCTCAAAAATGATTCAAAAAAGTTGTCGGCAAAAAATGATTTTCAATTTTCTTTTAAATTGCTCTTGCTGAATATAAGGCAGCTATAAAATACGTTAAAAATAAACAACAGCATTATAATAAATTTTTAAAAAGTCAATAAAAAAACAAAAATCAATTGAATAAACGGAAAAAACTGATAAAAAAAAGAGTCTAAGATAAATTATAAGATAAAAATATTTCTTGTAATGTTTTTATCAGTCGCTCCTCTATTTGAAGAAAAATCTTAATGATTTACGTCTTTGGTTGGTTCAATTGTTTCGTTTTGTGTATTCATAATATCGTCAAAATATACCCTAGAAAAATTTTTATCAATCTTGCAATATCAATATCGGAGGTGATTGTGATTATACATTGTCATTGTTATCACTGCAGAATTATTTGCCTTGGGTGAATGGGCTAGTTCCAGGAATAATCTCTATTTTTGAGATGCTACCTTTTTTGAAAATTATAATACTGTAACGAAAATTTTTTAAACATTCTTTATGTGCGATGAGGTTATACTGTACTTTCATTAATTTAATTTGTTATTGCGTTATTAAAAATACTCGATTGGTGCTAAGCTATTGTACTCAGGTTAGAAAAAGATGTGATTTCATGGAATTCATTCGTTGTTCCGAAGTAATGGTGACTTAATTCTATGATCGAAGATTTTTCACTACATACTTCATGGAACAAGTATGTCATTCGTTCCACAATTGCTTTTCTAATATTTAATAAAACCTTTCATGAAAATTCCACTGGAAAATTTTCATTTGGTACGATCAGTTAGCCTTCCTATCTCGTATAATAGGCCTATCTAAATATTTATCTGTTTTGTTCTTTCCTGGTTTAAGATAGCTTCTAACTGTAAAATTCTTCATTTCACATTTCATTAGAGTGGTTGTTAA